TGATAAACGTCAGACGCATCAAATGTTCAAAGTGTTATTTTCATATTACATTCGAGTAACTTAGCACCATGTCAAGAATATCACAGTTGTTTTCCATTCGTTTGATATGTTTGAGCTTTTAATTTTACCATTTGATAAGGGGACTTTCCGTTTTTAATTTTCTTTGGAGTTCGGTATTTTTGTTATTTTACTTTTTATTACCGCTTTTGATTGACTGTGAGTTCCAATGATAAACAACTTTGTGGTCAATACTTCGAATCTGGATGTTACTGATTACTTTTTAATAAAAAAAATTGCCCGAACAATTTGTTTATGAATTATTGAAATTATACTAACCCTTTAGTTGAAAAAAAGCATCCTAATGGAAAGGAAAGACATTTTGTTTAATCCTTTCTCAACCTTTTATTATTTGTTCTCGAGCATAACAGACTAAATTATTCCATAAACACGTTACATGTGCACAGAAAAAGATATCATGCGTTTTATGTCGTATTGTAACCCGTTAGCCATGAAACAATAATAAAATGTAAATATCTGTAAATGATCTATTTGATTATGAAGAAAAAAGTCATCTAGATCTTGCGTGTTCATTTGCCACAACACTATATCTACTTTTCGAAATGTTAACTTTATGATTAGTAATGCCTCTGCAAGTAGCTGACAGGATCCCGCAAAAACCTTTCAATGTTTCTTGCAACTTGATTAAGCACGTCAATGTCTTTTGTTGAAAATAAATTTACTCGAGGGTGAAAATATTGCGGTACATTTTCTTCTTGTATGCATTTAAGCAAACGGTCACACATTGACCTGAGTCTAGTTGCTAAATTATCATCCGACCATTCATAATCGTGTGGGTGGTCCTCACACTCCCAAAACAGAATATTCTTTAAATGGTAAGATGTCAAATCTTGTTTCATTCCCTTTGGACACCATGATTCTTTCAGCTTTTTTATGATTTTTTGCGATTTCTTTCGGCAAGTTCCGTTGGCATCAATACCGTCCAACAATTCCTTTTCGCAGCTTGCATAAGAAAATGTCCAATAAAATGGATCTTTTGCAATAAAATTTAATCCAATGGATTTTAATTTCTCTTCTTTTTCATCAGAGGGCCACAGTGCTTCAGGTCTTGGCCACCTTAAACAATCTCTAAAAGGCGTGCATGATTCTATTAGAGGCGTTAAATCGACACTGATAGATTCGCCTGCAATGTTTGGATGAGTTATTGTGAGCGTTGTTGCTGGTGAATCTGACAATCTTTTAGCATCAACATATTTGCGAATATGTGGTCGATTTACGGCTTCACCAACAAGGGATTTAAATCTACGTTTAACCTTGATTGGTATAATGTCGTCATCAATAGTAAGACAAGCTGGGCCGTCATTGATACCCTCTCTGTTCCATTTCGGTATAATACCTGAAAGTGATATAAAACCTTTCCCAATCGGTGGTTCTGGTAATGTCAATCGTTTTCTGACTACTTCATTTTTCTCATCGAATCCATAATTATGACTCGAATCATCACTGCTCCAAACTAATTTTGGGGTATCTAAAACCACGCTAAAATCAAATTCGTCCGCTCTCGACACTTTCAGATGTGTATAATAGCTTCCGACATTCAATGGTTGACATTTAAATCGTCTGTCTTTGCTATGTACATACTGAAGGATATCCTCGACAATAGGCATCACTATCTTTATGTTTTGTCTTGTCTCGTCTCTCATCATTTTCACATGATCATCATAAAACCTATTCAGAAGTGCGTTATCCATTTTTACTACCAAGAATCAGCAAAGTTTTGACAGTTAGATAAGCAAATCAGTTTCGCTTTGATTAAATAGAAATACGTGGAAGTTTTCAGTCTATATTTAGAGATGAAAAATTACAGGTACTTTATTTACCTATTACATAATTTCGGATAGTCAACTAAATATATTGAATTTTCATATGACCTAGTATAAAAGGTGGATTTCATATGAATAGTTAAGGTTATCTTAACTAAAATTAATATATGAATGGTTTAGATAACTAAGAACTGTATCTTTCTAGTAGAGTAATAAAGCTTACCATTAACTTAGGGTTTGAGATCGAGTTCGTTCCAGTTTAATTTAGATTGGAGTTCTAGTTAAATTTCGAATTCGGGTTAGAGTTGATGGTAGATTTAATTTCGAGTTTAGCATCGGCTTCGAGTAAGAGTTCGAGTTAAGCATCGGCTTCGAGTAAGAGTTCGAGTTAAGCATCGGCTTCGAGTAAGAGTTCGAGTTAACCATGAGATAAAGCTATGAGTTTGAATATCACTTTGGTATCTTCTGTCTGTATTTTAAGTCTTGTGTTTGAATAATATTCTTATTGAGAATTATAAACAATTAGAGATTGAGTCAAAAGTTTCGAGCTAATTTTACGTAATAGTCGGAGGTCGACTGAGGGTTCGAGTTACAGTATGAGTTTCAATTTGAACCCGAGTTACTCTTCAAGTTAAAAGCAAACCATTAAAAAAAACTTCAAAATACTATAACTTTCAATATTCATCAGAAGTTCATAGCATAAGGTAGCGTTTGTAACAGATGTTTAGTGTCAAAAGATGTGAATTACGAGATCCCCTAATTGTTTTCTTATCAAGTAGTGTTTATGAGAAACCTGAAAGTAATATGTAAAATCGATTTCACTTAGTTAAATTTTGACTACTATGAGTATGTCCAGGAATCTACGTCATAATGGCATTCTAACTTTTTACACAAATTAAGGGCAATAATTTAATTATAAATATTTCCAGTGTTTGTACTGTTTATTTTTTTTATTTTTGGGAAGTGCTTTTTGTTTTCTGTTGATTGTCTGCTCGTATTTTTTGGTCATGATGGTTTTTTTTCCTGTGGTTTTTGTTTGTTTGCATTCTAATCTCCTTCTTCTTTTAATAATTTATAATTCAATTTTTTATGATGGAAAGGATATATTCTATTAATTGATGACACAAAATCCATAAATGAACATAAAAATCTAAAGCCTTCAAAATTTAGTAAAAACTCCCACTTCATTGTAAGTTCAAAACGTCTCCTAGGTTCATTTTAAGTAGAATTCCTTATAAGATGTCGACCACGCTATACAGCTGATGGTCAAATTATAAATAAGACCTGGCAAAGGAATCTAGTAATGTATGCCTTTATAATGCTATTTATTTTCAATATCGATATAGAATTGTCAGTTATTTAGGATGAATTTCAAATCAGTGGTTGCGGAAACCTAAATGGGTGTACCTGCGTAGTCGTTTAATTAACTATGAGTGAAACTTCTGCATTAATGTTATCCCATTTTTGACTTCATTTCGTACATATTTATAAAAATTGCTACTCCGCTGCCAACATTAGCCTCTAACAATTTACAAAGTTTTAAGTTGATACTATTAATGATATAGGAGATGCCATGACAAGGAGGGTTGTAAATAGGGGAACATTTCTAAATCGAAAGGAACATAGTTCTACATAAGCAGATAACCAGTAAGTCGTGCCTATACAGATATTTGTTTAACAAGATCCACTGTTTAACGAATTTTGCAGCAAATTGAAAAATATACAGATAATAAGGTATTACAAGAAAGACGGTCACTAAAGGGGAAAGTGATGCATACGTCAATTATAGATAGCAACCCAACGTCACAAATTACCAAACAGACCGATTTTAGTATTTCAACTATGACTCATAAAATTGAGAATGGAAATGGGGAATGTGTCAAAGAGACAACAACCCGACCATAGAGCAGACAACAGCCGAAGGCCCCCAATGGGTCTTCAATGCAGCGAGAAACTCCCACACCCGGAGGCGTCCTTCAGCTGGCCCAAAAACAAATATGTATACTAGTTCAGTGATAATGGACGTCATACTAAACTCCAAATTATACACAAGAAACTAAAATTAAAAATGATACAAGACTAACAAAGGCCAGAGGCTCCTGACTTGGGACAGGCGCAAAAATGCGGTATATATTGTCTTTTTTTATTACGCCTTTCAAGTTTCAAATTTATTTTTTGGCTAAGTTTGGATACACATTGCTAAGGAGAAAAATGATGGAATGTCATGATTATGATCGTTAGAGTTATTAGTTTTCTATGTTGTGTTTTGTGTACTATTGTTGTCTGTTGTTCCTTTTCTTTTTTAGCCATGGCGTTGTCAGTTTATTTTCGACCTATGAGTTTGAATGTCCCTTTGGTATCTTTCGCCTTTCTATTACAAACATTACCATTTGACAGGAGATATATATTAACGTGATATACGAATTCATCACTACTATGCTTCTTCCAGAGTTATTTCTTTATTAAATTGAACTGAAGGAAGGATTATCAATTTCAAAAAATTTCGAAAAACGTTTCATGAAGTGCCCTTACAAACAGTTTTTTTGCCGGGTTTGCAAAGTAACACATAAAACATCTTCCAACTGACTAAAATCTATTCCATGTGTATACATACCATGGCTTCAAAGTAACAGTGAAGCAACTTATTCTTTGGATGAATCCGATACGGATTCTTAAAATAAACAGGAATGTGTAAAAATACATATTATCAAAGTCCTTCTCAAACTGAAAACTATCATGTTTGATTTCTTTATCATTTCTCTAGAATGCTATGCGTTTACGAGACAGCAAGATATGTGCAACACAAAAAGCAACAAAAAATATTTATCAGGAGGTCAGCATTCGCTCTTAAACGAGAAATAAGAGTCTATGAAATATCCAAGTTTAATACCGCCCCGAGTATTTAAAAGATCTGAATAAATTTGACAGATGCTATCAAAGATCTGGCTGCAACACAAAATAACATTAACAACATTAATATATGAGCAAAGAGAACCATTGACAAGATTCTTAACTTGTGACATGGGGATTAACAGACTTTAAAATCATTTTTAATAAAGCATTTTAAAAGAGAAAGATTAGACTGTTAAGGCACACAATTGTTTGTAATAACATAAACGGTACCAATTTCACTGCACCAGATGCGCATAATTTTTTCCAATCTAATTAAAATATAGAACTCGGATTTCGTTATACTACATACGAGATCTAACAATGACCCTAATCTCTTTCACTTTTGTGACCTTTTTTTACGTAATATTTGACCTCAGAAAGAATTTATATCGACCAATCAGAATGCTCCTTATGAACGCAACCTAGGAATATGTTGAAGATGGCGACGCAGAAATGGAAAAACGACTTAGAAAATGCATTAACTGAAATTTTGCCTTAGTACAAAGTGAAAGAATTGAAATTTGAGAAGAGACAAATTTTGGAAACTATTTTGGAGATCAAAGATTGCATGGTCAGGCTTCCAACATGCTTCAAACGGGCTATGGAAAGAGTTTACACACCAGATATCTGCTACCTGTTCGCTGTTGCAAGGAAAATGAAGGAACACGGTACAGACACTAGGACCGATGGTAAAATCGTAGTCTGCGGTCCAAGTTTCCAAACTTAAGTCTGTACCGATAATCAAGTCCGCATTCAAAGGTAAATTCTCGAAAATAGAGTATTAAAGGTTGACATTTTTCTATCATTGGGAAACTTCTCATGTGCTTATGAACAAAAAATGTTTGTGGAGGATTCACAGTGTACTTTAAAAAACATGACAGTATCCCAGAAAATACATTGCAAGTCTTCCAATGCATTCTCCTACCAAAAAATTATAATTTACAATGTCAATGAAGATATGGGATCAGATAAATCTAAATTCATTATTAATCTGTAAATAGCGAGAATGATGTAAATACACGTATGGAAGAGACACTTAAAATTTTAGATTTTAATTGTAAAAATGTTTTAACATGTGGTCCAATTTTTAAGGAATTAGAAAACAGTATTGATATTTTTCTGCTACAAGAACATTGGCTATATGACTGTCAGTTATCTATGCTAAATGAAATAAGTGACAAGCTTACCGGTGTAGGCAAGGCAGTTGACTCATTAGATCCCATCCCTGCTACACAGATGCCTAGAGGTTATGGGGGCACAGCTATATTATGGAAAAAAGATTTAGACTCTATAATTTCATCATAAACAATAGGTAACGAAAGAATTCAAGGAATAGAAGTCACTAGTGATCCTAATTTAATTATTCTCTCTGTATACTTGCCTTGTAAAGGATCATCTCAACACCTTAGTGATTTTCAAGACTGTATTGCTCAGTTACATGAAATAGTCAGTACGTATCAACAATCACACCAAATAATTATTGGAGGAGACTTTAACGAGGATATTGTAAATGGTCCAACATCACAAAGGAAGACCTGTGTCAAGGACTTCATGAAAGAGCATGATTTCGAAACAAAATATAATGGTAGCACTTTTATCCATTCAAACGGCTGTGATACCACTGCCGTTGACTATTTTATATTTCAAAATTTATATAATCATACAGTCCTTGAAATCTCGAAACTGGACATAATATCTAATGTATCAGATCATTACCCAATTAAACTGATCCTTCAATATCATCATCCAGTGAAACAAATCAATTCAAGTAATAACTCTGTCAAACGTAAGATCAAATGGGATAAAGTTGATACACAGCTATATGAGAGTCTTATTGCTTCAGAAATATCAGACAGCAAACCAACAATAGAGACAATAGAAGATGTAACAAAAGCGTTCAAGAATCTCAATCAAATTATTGTTAAATCTACTAAAGCTGCAGCACCAGCAATCAAAATGGGGGAAAAAAAGACCTAAGCTACAAGTAATGAATGACGCCATAAAAGAAGCTATCAAAAAAAAAGAAACTTGCTTTTCACGACTGGAAGTTAAATGGACGTCCAAAAGAATCTGATAGTATATATCTGAAAAAGAAAAAACTAACAACGCACATTCTACGTAAAGAATGCAGATTAGAAGTAGCTAAACGTAGAATAAATGAACGTCAAAAACTAATGAGTGCCAGAACATCAGACAGAAATATGTTTCATATTATTATAAAAAGTCAAAGAGGAAAATTATCTAGATTTATAGATCAATTACATGTAGATGATAATACCTATCACAACGATTATAGCATTGAAGGCTGGCGTTCACACTTTCATAAGCTTGCAAAAAAGGAACAAAATCAAAATTATGACATTCAATATCTAGATCTTATTGAAAAAGAAGCTAAAATTATAATTGACATATGTAAAGATCGTTTCAAGCATAACCCTATTACAGAAGAAGAGATTTCAAAAGCAATAACATGTCTGAACAGGAATAAAGCTGCCGACTTCTTTGGTGTAAACGCTGAAAATATCATACATGGTGGTAGACAATTGCAACAATATTTACAACTACTTATCAACAGATCTTTTGAACTAGGCTGTATATCTGATATTCTGAAAATTGGTACACTATTTCCTGTATTCAAGAATAAGGGTGATGTAAGATATGCGAAAAACTATAGAGGAATAACAGTCACACCTATATACTCCAAAATAATTGAAAAGATAATTAAATTACGGGAAAACCCTATCATCCTGGAGAAACAAAACCCATTACAAAGAGGATTTACTGAGAACACCACCCCTCTGTTATGTGAATTAATTATTGAAGAGTTTGAGCGTGAAAGTAAAGATCTCAATCTACCAACATACATAGCTTTACTTGATGGTAAATCGGCATTTGATGTGGTCGTACATTCAATCTTATAAGGAGATTATATCAAACAGGAATCTCTGATCAATCCATAATATTGATAGATAGCCTCTATAAAAATGCAACATCTTGTATAAAATGGAGAAATAAAACTTCAGCAGTCTTTGAAATAGAACAGGGTGTACGCCAAGGTGGTACCATTAGTGCTGATCTGTACAAGTTGTATGTAAACCCTCTACTAAACCTTTTATGTGACACAGGAATAGGTGGACACATAGGCAATATTAGCTGCTGTGCTCCAACATGTGCTGATGATGTTGCTATCATAGCAAACAATCCAATAGAACTTCAGACGCTAGTAAATATTGCTGTCAATTTTAGTAGGAGAGAGGGATACACTCTACAACCAACAAAAAGTGTAATATTACCTGTAAACACCTCATCCAGATCGATTGAAATAGAGGACAATTTTTGGCATATAAACAATAACCCTATGCCAGTGGTAGATTACTCCTCACATATTGGTATACAAAAGTGTCAGAAAAACTCGGCAAAATTAACTGTTGATAAAACATAAAGAAGGCAAGAGGATCATTATACAGCCTAATGGGCGCAGGCTTACATGGGAGGAATGGATTAGATCCTGAAACAGCTATAACTCTTTTAAATACATATGTTATGCCTAAATTAACATATGGTTTGGAAATACTACTTCCGACAGGCAGCATTTTTGATACTATCAACCAATTCCACAAGAAAATTATTAAACAAATACTCTCTTTATCTCAACAAACAGCTGACCCTGCTATATACATACTAAGTGGAATGCTACCAATTGAAGCTGAAATCCACCTTAAAGCTTTATCACTTTTTGGAAATATCACCAGAGCTAAGAAAACATCAGTTGAATGGAGATTAGCAGAAAGACAGCTGCAATTAAAAACACATACAAGTAAAAGCTGGTTCATAGAAATAAAGAAAATATGCCTAAAATATGATCTGCCAGACTGTCAGAATTTCCTAACATACCCTCTTGGAAAATTCCAATGGAAAAATTTGATTACAAGGAAAATTCATACTTACTGGAGAGAAAAGATAAATGAAAATTCGGAGGGTTATTCAAGCTTGCAACACATCGCATGTGCCTATAAGATCAAAACAATCCATCCAATAGTAGTATCAAATTGCCGGTTCTGCCACAAATCTATTTTAAGTAGAAATATAGCATAAAAATGATAAAAAAACGAAAAAAAAATAAAAAATGTGAATGAATGACATACGACAAAACAAATCTATTTTTTTTATTTATTTTTTTTTACACAAAACCCAAAACACCTCAAAAGGATGTAATCCTAGGGTAAATACAAATATGTCTTTTGTTCAAATATGGATGAACTCAGAAGTTCAAAAATCGTAGACAACGAATTTATCAATGATAATGTTTTTGAGGAAAAGGCAAAGTACCAGAGCCTGGAAACCCTGAAATGGAAGGAACTCCCAATCGGAGTGATTTATAAAATCCTGGAAGTGGTAGAAGTAGATGGGAAGTTTGGGAGGAGTAAGATCCTCACTTTGAAAAACAGAGAAGGAGAAACGACAAGGGTGTGGGCTTGCAGTATACTGAACAGAGAGATGGAACCCTTGGAAGGAGCCTTTGTGAGAAGTACAGGCTTAGAAGTCAGCAAAAAGACCAAACAGGAGTACTTTTCTTGCAACCTTGTGAGAAAGTAAGTCAAAAATAAAAAAAATAATGGCCCGGCTGGGGTACAAAAAATTTTTTCGATCCGACATTTTTGCCGGATTGGAAAAGTTTTTTTTATGCTTGAAACGGAGCACATCATGAAGTGAAGCGGAATGGAGCACATCGTGAAACGGTGTGTAGAGTGAAGTGTAACGGAATGATGTGTGACGTTTTTGTTACGGCGCATGCGCAGTAAGAAGAAAAATTGAAATAACTTAAAGGGAAGCGTCAGAAGAGGTAATAAGAAATATGGCATTATTACAAAATATGAGTGCTGAGGAATTACCAAATGTCTGCGGGGCCAAATTGAAGAGGAAAGATGGGCACTGTCAGAACAAACCAAAGGAAGATTGGAAATGTTGGAGGCACAAAAGGCAGTTTAACCATGATAGTGATGATGGGTTTATTAGTAATGGTAAACTACAGATTAACAAAACCATTAAGGAATTGCGACAAATTGCTAGGGAAGGGAACTTAAAAGGTTATAGTAGATTGTCAAAAATCAACCTGGTAGACCTCATTGAGAACAAAACAAACCAAAGATTCAAGCGTGAAGAGGTTTTTACTATGAAACAGTTGAAAGCACTCGCCAAAAGGCGGGAGATTCATAACTATTCCAGACTAACAAAGAAAAATTTAAGTACTTTAATCATCAATAATATTGAAAAATGCTTCCATTGATGAAGAACTAGAAATAACGGACGGACGTGATGCATTGAATGGTGTATTTGGCACAGTGAAAATTTGACCCAAAAAGAAAAATGATGTGAATACATTTTTGAAGCTGTGTCGAAGCACCATCATTAGCAAGATACAAGGGGCGTTGACCGAGAAAAAAGGGTTGAAAGTGAATTTGGTTTTAATAGTTGAAATGATGAAACCAAGCACTAAATTACCTGATGAATCCATAATAAAGGAACCCTTTTTTACATCCTTGCAGATGACCATTCTCGAGGCAACAGACCTTGAGCAGGAAATTGATGACGCGGTCGAAAAGATCAAAGAAAAAATGTCTAAATATCAACGCGAGGGCAGTGGGTGGGTGTTTAGTCAAATCAAACGGTTAGATATTAAAGTTAGTAAGTTCAAACCGCTAGCCGGAAGTTCATTCATAGCACTCCCAAAACAACTATTGCTAAAGAAGGCAATAATC